TGCCAAATAAAAGCTCGGGTCTCAGGAGGTTAAATCAGTGTTACGGTCACTGACCTCTAGGGGCTCTCCTATCAGGAGTAGTTTTTTCTTTGTGTTTCAGTTCCACCTGGCTACTACAGGTGGAATGTGTTGGATCTCATCAGCCACCCCATAAAGAGATCCAAACCAGAGATGTTTAGGCCCTTTTATTTCCCTGGGCCTTGATCTGAAGGGATCATGTCAGTGAACTGACTTTGAGATTTGGGATAACTTTGCCGTGAGCTTTTGTGTGAAACTTAAAGTGTTTATAATTTCGTTTTCTTCACAGTGGAAGCTGGTAGGGGGTTCTGTGCCATTTTGTTTAACCGTTTTTCTCCTGTTTATTGGTTAGCCAGGGAGTCCAGGTTTTGTACTTTGTTTTCAGTCCTTTTCTAGAAAGTGTTTTTACTTTATAATTAAAAGGGGGATGTTTTGTTTGTTGTTTTGGCCTTGGAGACCCTGAAGCTAAAAGCTTCCCTGTGTATGTTTATTGTGACTTTATGTTGAAATATCAATTAAATTATCTTTTTTCCTACTGAAACCAACTGCTCAGGGTACCTTATTTTGTGTTAGACCCAGTGCCAATTTTTACCCTTGGTGGTCTTGGGGGAGGGGTCGTAACACACAGGATGAAACTGGTTTGACAGTAAAACAAAGTGCAGTTGTTCCTCTGTTTCACGAAACCAAAAAGGTGTGAGGTCACAAGGATCACTAATGGGCAGTGGTGGGAAGTAACGAAGTACAAGTACTTCGTTACTGTACTTAAGTACAATTTCCGTGTATCTGTACTTTACTTAAGTAGATTTAATAATGGATACTTTCTACTTTTACTCCACTACATTTAACAGTAAGTATCTGTACTTTCTACTTCACTACATTTCTATACAGCGTTTCGTTACTCGTTACATCCAAGACGCATTTCGGTTTTTTGATTTGTTCGTTAGTTTGAAAGTATCCAGAATCAGTCCGCTGAACCAATCCAAAGCGGGAAATAATCATTAGGCCCTCCCTCAAGAAGAGCAGCACAGTACCAGGACCTGCATAAAATATCTAAATCTAAACTGTCACAGGGGGTAAACACAATAAAAACATGCTTTATCTGCAGCATTGCTCATTAAAATGGTACATTACTGATTTATTAAAACTAAATACGATAGGTACACTTAATGACATTATATAAGCCGTTAGCTATTACGGTTGGCAAGTACTTTTACTTTTAATACTTAAGTAGCTTTAAAAGCTTGTACTTTCTTACTTTTACTTAAGTAAAATAATAATGTGGTACTTTGACTTTTACTTGAGTAAAGTTTTGTCTGGGTATTTGTACTTTCACTTAAGTACATTGTATGAGTACTTTCTCCACCACTGCTAATGGGTCAGCTTCTCATTTCTGCAAACCAACTTGTACTTTTGATAACAATTTCTTGCTATCACACACGCACAGTTAAACCTTTACATTCACACACACATATGTAATTAAGAGAATGCATGATAACTCTTGTACAATTATTATAACAGTACCCTAACTCACCTAGCCCTCATTATCCCACCACTAACCTCCAACCAAGATGGCCCCATGATAATCCAGACCCCCCAAAGGAAAAAAAGGGGAAAGGGGGGAGAAAAAAACAAAAACAAAAGGTAATAATAACTGGAGGTGGGATGAGGGAGGCTCTCTGGGATTAAACAACACGATGTCAGTTCATTAAACCTGACTTGATGAGTCTCTTTTCTGTATTTGTCAAATAAAATATATTCTTCAACCCATCTGTAGCTCCTCGTTTCCACGCCTCAATAACGAAAAAACAAAAACAAGTTAGAAGAACGTGAGGAACTTAGAGGATTACAGTATCATCACTTTTTATAATTCTTTTGAAAATAAAGCGTTTTTGTTTTGTGTTTCTCTGAGAGTATCAGGTTGATTTCTATCATTTTCCATCTCTAATTGTACTTCAAATGAATGGTGTTTCCAGCTTGTTGTGTCAGAGACACTAAGTAAAGCAGAGTTGGATTTAGATTTACTAGATTGGCAAAGTTGGACCTGAAATAAAGGCAAATTTCTCTCTGTCTGCTTGTCTGAACCGATATCCCTCAGTCCAGATCCCAGAGAGTCCGATTTATGCTCCGAGTTTCAAATTAGAACGCGTTTAATGAGATATTTTGATTTCCCAGACACCTGAAGGATTACGCAGGGAGGGGCTTAATGCCAATCTCATTTTTCACATTCTTCTCCCCACTGGAAGAATTTCTTTGGTCTAAACTCAAACATAGAGGTTTGCCAGAAAAGCTGTAATGATGTAAAGTAGTAGATCTATAAGGAAAACTATAAGCTAACAGTGTTTTAATGCAACTCTATGTATTTACGCACGCTTTGAATTGCTTTTTTCTCATTTATTCTCGTGTCTTTTACAGTGGTTTCATACTCAGAGAACCCACAGTGACCCCCCAATTGCTTAATGCCAATCTCATTTTTCACATTCTTTTTCTCAATGGAGGAATTTCTTGGATCTAAACTCAAACATAGAGGTTTGCCAGAAAATCTTTAATGATGTAAAGTAGTAGTTCTATAAACAAATCCATAAGCTAAAAGTGTTTTGATGCAACTTTGTTTATTCACGCACACTTTGATTAGCTCTTTTCTCATTTATTCATGTGTTTTTTACAGTGGTTTCATTCTCAGAGAACCCACAGTGACCCCCCCAAAATCCTGCATAACTTCCAGAGACAGTAAAGAAGAAGAAGCTTGTGTTTTAGTTTGAGTTTAACCCGGTGAATGGCCGGCCAAAGGTTGGCTCTGCCTTTGTGTTCAGCAGCCCGGGGCAGCAGAGCGGAGCTCTTTTATGGGTTGATTTATAATTGAAAGCTGTGTTTACATCCGCTCTACGGCCTCCATAACACAGAGAGCAGCTCACAGCCCGGGGAGGGAGGAGCCCCAAAAACTGGAGCCATTAAAAATGGATGTTTTCCCTCCTCTTTATTTCATCAAACTTGGAGAGAAGTCAAAAGTTGAGCTGGTCGCATTGTGTTGGGTTTGTGTTTGTTCAGAGGTCTTTATAGTTATGATAGTCTATAAAGGTAAACGAATAATCACATTTTTCTTATTGGACATTTGGAGATTGGGGAATGTGGATGAAAGCTAATAAACAATCATTAATCATGGAACCAACACATTATCAATTTTTCAACAGTTTTTTACTCTTGAATGAAAATGTACTGTAAGAGCACCCGGGAGTTTAGACATAAAGTCAATCGATCCTGAAAAAAATGACTTATTTCCTATTTGTACTTTTTAATATTCTCTTTATAAGAGAATATTTTATGATTGATGCATTGTGTGTTTGCAAAGGAAACCAATATTATAGCGGAATAACTGAAGCCAAAGAATTAATGAGCGCTTTCATTTCCAAAAACAAATAACAGACTTGAAAATGGATGAAAAAAGTCCAATAGTCTTTATCTCGAAAGTACCCAGATTCCTTTTTTTTCTAAATACTCTGAAGTTGGAACCTGAAAAAAAGCACATTTTGACCAGGACTATAGAGCAAATTTCTGTACAACACATGTTTTTGTTGTTATTTTTTATTCCCTATTCCAGATCTTCTACCAGTTCCAGTTTTCTGTTAATCTACTCTTTCACCCTAAAAGTCTTAATCAGTTTCAGTCCGAATACTGATCAATGAGTGAGAGGGAAAGGCTTAATGAAGCATGGCTCATTACCTGCTTTGCTCTGAGAAGTCTTTCCCATTCAGCGGATTAACTGGATGGATCTGCAGTTATTCATCTCCTCCTGTGTAAAATAATTCATTCATAATAGTCCTCTTTTCCCTCTCTCTCCATTTCCCTCTTTAACTAAAATAATCTCTTTTAAATTGAAGTTATCTCTACATTTGTCATATTGTATGTGTGGCCAAAGCCCACCCTGAGCTCCTTGAATATATTGCATTTAATTTAAACGGTTTTGTACACGTTGCTTATTTAAACTGGGCATTAAATCTGGGTCTAAACTATGTAATGGTTGTTGAAAAAGCCTCAGCAGAGCCTTTACAGACAAACCGAGGATGGTCCGCCCACAAAAAAAACGAGCACTTTCATTTAAGACACTCAACGGAGAACTGAACGTTACACTTGAAAGCCGCTTGAAACTCGACTGAATGGAAGTGGGTGTCTAACCGTGAGTGGTTTTCCTCATTTTTAAAATGAAAAAAAAGAGAGGTCAGGTCAGTCCGAGATGAAAGAAGTCCTGGAATCACATGAAAGAAAACTGATGTTCACATGTTTGTCAAATGGATTTCAAATGTGGAAGGACTTTGGATAAGAGGAGCTTCCCTTTAAAGCTTTAGTTTGTGAGGCTTTCTTTCATGTAAAAGCAGAGTGCGCCATCTAGTGGTTCCTCAGGGCTCCACATTAGGGTTTCTAAACTTTTAAACCCAAAACCCCAAAATTAAAAGTGTGAAACATTCCCATCCTCCAGAGACGGATAAGGGCTCATGAGGGAAGATATGTGGACTATTGTTGGTGTTTTGGATTAGATCATGAAGCAAAGCTCATGTCTAGTCATGATTTACTGTACTTATCAATGTAAGTTTTGAAAATAAAATTATTTTCGTATTTTTATAGGAGTTATGGCTACATCCATGCTAAAAATGAAGTAAATACTATAATAAAAACATTATAAAAATAACAGATATATCAAAATTTGAGTGTTTGTTTTACTATTTAGATGAAATATATAGATTTTTTTTTTTTAATACTCATGTTGATAATATTTGTTTTATTTTTTACAGGAAGTTTCACACACATTATATCAAAAACATACATGACGTTTAAGGAATTTAATTTCTATTTTATCACCTTCCAAACACCAAACACAACCTAACATTTAAAATGGGAAGCTGAGGGTTTCTGGGGTCGCTGTAAAAACATCAGTATGTATCCGGTGTTGTAAATAACTAGAAGAACAAACAGAAAATCAACCTGTGACTTCAGGCCTCACTGAAAAAATCTAACAGAGAGTTTAAATCATAATTATTGAGTATCTCCAACAACGAGGACACCTTTGATTTCACGTTCTGTCCCTTGAACTTGAATTTATCAATGAAGAGGTCGGTGATCATTCCTGGAAGAAAGAACACACAAAATATCAATAATCCGAAGATCTTAACGATGCTAAATTACAGTGAGACTGAAGATAAATGAAGGTGGGCAGTAAAACTTCACCGTAAAGTCTTTCGAGGTGAGCTGGCTGCTTCTTATACTCCTCCAATAAATCAGCCGACTCGTCCAGGATGCTGCGATACTCCGGGATCAGGAAGTCGGCGTTCCCTTCGTGAACCTGAAGTTCCTGAAAACCACAGAAGAAATTGTGAAGAAATGGTGAAGAAATGGTGAAGAAATGGTGAAGAAATGATGCAAAGTCAGGGTTCCATCTGCATCTATGCATCTAGCAGAATCAGAATCAGAATCAGAATAAGGTTTATTGCCAAGTAGGTTTTTAGACTTACAAGGAATTTGCCTTATAATCTACCAGGATACAGGTCAAGGATACTTGCCCAACGACACCTGCCCTGGAATCAAACCACCAACCTATCCAATGGCAGGTAGCTGGTTTTTCTACTTAGCTACAGCTGCATTAATATACACATATTAGCCTGCTGCTTCCTTTAAAAAACCTCAGGGAATGAGTGGAAGTGTTGCTTTTATATACACGTTTAGACATATGAAAGTGGTTCAAAGTGATTGTAATAAATATTAACCCTATAATGCCAAATGTATCATATCTGATTCATACGGTTTCTGAAATGTTTTGCGTCTGACACCTTTTGCATAATTTAATGGTAAAAACTTTGCTCAAAATGATAACCTGATAACAGGGGGCAGAAGACTACACAAAAAATAATCTTGACTTATCGCATAGTAATAAATTATTAACCCTTTATAGGGCACTTAATGAAACACTTTAAAATAAAAAAATTCAACCTTAGAGTGTTATTGGACAACATAATAAGACTTTTTTACATTTGTGACATTCTCTTAAATTTTTTACTATAACTAACGTGCGGAAATTCCCCAAAACAGTCACTTGTCCGATAAAAGGTTAATATAAAAAATGTATTTCTGTTTTTTCTTTTTACTTATTTTGTTAAAAGGCCAAATAAAGACTTCAAACAAAAAAAAAGTAATTTTTCTGTTTTGTTTTATTCTTGGATCGGCTTTTAAAGGGTTAAACCCCGAAAAACGGTAAAATTAGCTTTCTTATCTGAAGCAGAAGGATTTCTCTAACCGATACTTACTTTCAGAGCATCAATAAGCTGGACTTTCCTGGCCAGCAGAAGCTGAGATTCCAGCTTTGGGTGGATCATCCTGAGGGTGTGGCTCACCGAGTCCTCACTGATATCTGGGGAATGGAAAAAACAAAAAACAAAAGTAATGTGACCGGTTTAACAAAGGCCAACAAATGTTGGAAGTGTTATAAAGAGGTGGGCACATTTCTCCATGCATTATGGGAGTATCCCTTGATAATTCCCTTTTGGAAGAGTCTGCACAATTTTGCCTTTTAGGAGACAAGTCATTGATGCCAGAGGGCATCCCAAAAGCTGAAGGTAGGCGAAAGATGACAGGTTTTCTAGTAGCAGCCAGAATTATTATTCGTAAATGGAAGAGCCCACTTATCCTCCTGAGACCCGGTCCATTCATTTATGTCCATTGTAGTGGACATTTTGTCCACCCGTAGCCCCCTAAGTATCTGGAGTTACCCTATCAAGCCCTATAGTGTTCTGTAGAGGACATCCTGGGCTTTCCAGTGATGTGCCGTGTGATAGGTTTGCATGCTGGGAACTTTACTTTTTTCCTAAGAGTTCTTAGGTAAATATCCCTTTCAAGACATCTTCTTTTTTATTATTTAATTATCTAAAGCCTGTTCTATTTTCCCATGCAGATCGTCCCGTTGTCCTCCACAGTGGACATGCTATGAAATTAAAATTAAAAATATTATTTTTTAAATTTAAATTGTAATGTTCTTTTTTAGGTCCAAATACATGGAAAATCACAAAAAAAAGAAATTTGAAGACACTTTTTTTCTTTGGGTCTCAGGAGGATAGACCAGAAATCAAGGAATGGCTTCAGCTTATGTCAGAGACGGCTGCTTATGAGGTCACGATTTTTAGGGTGCAGAAAGAGCCAAGTAAAGCTAGCCAAGCATGGGTTTATTCTGAGTACAATGTTGGTAAAAGTTCTTAAGGGATTTTGGGTGTGATGTATGCTGTGAGTATGAATATGTGCATTGCTATATCTATGAAAAGGTAACTGATAATGGCTGTCATGTTCTGTGTTGCTGCTGGTGTTTGTGTTTTTGTTGTTGAATGTCATCTGTTTGTAACTGTGTCATAAAAGAAAAATACATTAAAAAACGTCAATAAAATTTATTTTTAAAAGTAGTGCGACCGTTTGTCTTCTTTTCAGCTGACAAAACACATTGAGGAAGAAATGGAAAAAAAAGGAACAAACCGTATGAAATGTTCAGGTTGATTTTCTTCTTGGTGGCCTCTTTGGAGAGAACGTCGCTCAGAATAGAGATGGTGGAGATGTTGTCGGATTTGAAGTGACCCTCCCCTTTACTGGAACAGAAAAACCTCACGTTCAAAGCCGTTTTGAGATATTTTAAAGGTATTTAAAACACCGCGTGTTGGCATTTACCAGTAGGTGGCTTCGAGCTGTGTGCCCAGGAAGGTGTTGTGGAAATAGAAAGTGATGGCCTCTCCTGCCGGGGTTTTTTCAGG